TCTCCGACTCAGTCTTTCTTTTACATAAATAAAAAAACAGGCGCATGACTTGGCGTTATTTTTTACCTTATTTAAAAGGTAATTTTATTAAGTTTATATAACTTGGTGCCAATTATTGATATCAAATCTTTTATACAAATGATATACATGATATACATAATATATTATTTATAATATAACATACAGTATGTAAGATAATTTCTATAATATTATTGTGATAAGTATACGAAGCATGATATCTGTATTTATAGGTACACTCGTGGACAATGAGATTGCAACACTTTTTTTTAATAAGTTAGGAATACGTGATTAAGTTCAGGCGGGTATCGATTCTGTAACTAAAATGTAGTGAAAATGCAAAAAGTGAGCAATTTGTGTGATTCCATAACTTTCATTATGATGAAAATGCGAGCCATCTCACGGGAGTTCATGTGACAAGAACTTTCTTGTCGAATAGTGAAATCCGAGAGAGAAAGACTGAGAAATAAAGCGAGAAAAAAACTATTAATAGCATCATGATACATTTCCGTGTCAGTTAAAAATTTTAAAGTTAAATAATATTATTGAGGTAAAATATTATTGTTCGCATAAATCTACAAAAGCTCAAAAGTAAAAGTGTTACAAAAGCTAAAAAGTAAAAGAAAAAAAAGAAAATAATATACATAGCTGTTATTTTATTACTTAATGATGAAGAGGATGATGTTTTTGAACCGCACAATCCAATTATGAGAGTTATGCGAAGGCAAATTAGAGATGTATTTGATCTTTTTTCGATCCCTGATAACGAATTTCGTAAGTTGTACAGGTAAATTTCATATTTAAAATTCTTAAGAATAATGTAAAATAAGTAATGCTTATATTACAACATATAATTACATTTTCAATTTTTTGTTTTAGACTGACGAAAGATACATGTTATATGCTGATTGAAGAATTAGTACCATTAGTACCTTAGATATCAAGAAAAACTGCAATGAAATGCTCATGAATTGCAGGTATATACAATAAATTAAAAATTTTCCATTTATGTAGCGCCATTAAATTCTTAATGATTTTTTTAACCTTTTTAACACTATGTTCCCCGATAGCCAAACTTGAAAAGACAGATTATGCGCAAAGTCTGTTATAAAATTTTGATGCTAGAAAAGAAACAGATTGCTAACAGATTCTGTAATATTTGACAATGTTAACAAAGTTATAATTCTCGATAGTCAACATATAAACTCAGATTGCTGCTGTCTTTCTTTCGCAGAACGATCGGACTCGCATACGGAGAATCATTTTCTCTAATTACGCTTTCTTTAATCAGATTATCTAAAATAACGCTTAACTTTATCCAGCATAGGCTAACCGGTGCGCTCGGAAACTGATCGGCTGCTCGTGCTTCAAGCATATCGCCATTTCCGGTTCGTTCTCGGGTAATTCTAATTTTTCGTTCGTTAGATGCACGTCGCGGTATAAACATTTAACGGTTTTTTCTTTATTGTAAGGAGCCTTTGTCTTAATATCTACTTTGTCAAACTGTCGGTCAGTACAATTGATATGCATTATTTGATCAATGAAATCATCCGCATTTTCCGTCGTGTCGGTCTCACTCTGTACGATTTTGAATTTTTCGTTAATTATTATTTTCACTGCCGGATTGGAAGTGAAATCTCTACCTAGCAATGCGTCGCCGTTCATTGTTTCTATCGGGGACGACAAAGAATCTTATATTGGTATTAATACCGTTTACTTGAAAGTTGCATTCGAACATACCCAATATTTCTATTCGCGAATTATTAAGACTGTTGAACCGGAAATCATCTTTCGCAACGGGAGCGCGACAGCTAGCCGGTGCATACCCTGGTTTAATTAAACTAATTGGCGAGCCGGTATCGATAATAGCTGTGCAAGAAAATAGACGCGTACTACCTTTATCATCCAGAACAATATAAGATAGTGATACTGTATATGGCTCGCTCCCGATGAACGGCTGAATGAGATTCATCTTGACCGAGATTTATTTACCCTCTCAGCCGAGTTACTAGGCCGATCACTCACAGGTCGATTCGCAGCTCGCGGTTTTGTGCACTTTGCTACACGGTATCCTCTCTCTTTACAGTTAAAATACTTTATTCCTCTTGGCACCGAACTCGCATCATCACGTTCAGTCGTCGACTTCATTTCCTTCTTCGACTTCTGTTGACTGGTCCCTACTTGGTTCCGCTCATTAAGTTACTTTTCAGGATGATGTTCTCGAACGCTTCTATTAATTCGGCACCATTCTTGAAACGTTGCAGCCTTATTTGGTCACGTAGCCGCGAATCGGATATTCCCTCGATGACATAGTCAATAATCTCGTCTGCATCGATACATATTTGATTTGTCGCAATTATTTTATCATATAATAATATTCGCTGAATGACTCTTCCGTTCGCCACATTCTCTCGCCGCTCGAATTCTTTCCTCGAAGTTAGCTTGCTGGAACGATGATCGAACATTCGGCCCATCTCTTCTAAAAGATCGGTCGCAAAGATCGTGTCGTGATATGTTCTGATTTTGAGTGGAACCAGCTCAAGGCTTTTCCCTTTAATCTCGAGCCAATTAATACGTTACTCTCGTAGTTATCGTCGAGATTACATGTATCCCGCAGAAGTTTGACCTGTTGTTTCCAGTTTCGGAAAACGCTGTTCGAACCATCGAACTCATTTAACAAATCTTTGAGTCCCTTTACGTGATTGTGAAAATGTGCGCATCTGGGACACTCCCGTGTCATCATTAGCTCGGCTTCACGTCTCATTAGCTCAAGTTCGCCACGAAGCAAGTCTCTTTCGCATTTAACGAGTTCAAGCTCGCGATTAGCAGGATTTTCAGGATTACGTTTCGTTGAATTTCCGCATTTGTGGTCGTTAGTCAGCAGCGTTCTTCCGCTTCATGTTCCTCTTTCCATACTTTTGAATTGTTTTGTTCCAACCGCAATATCAAGTCTTTATTGCTCGTTGTTGGAAGATTCTTTTCTCGTAACAATCCCTTCAAGTATATGACACTATAGCTCGAAGGATCTGTTGCATTTGCCAAATCAATGTTTCGTAGGCAACCACCCAAGTAGCAAGACGTGCTACTTCATCTTGCTACTTAAGTAACGTCATTATGACGTCATCTTGCTACTTGGGCAGAATCACTAATGATTCGCGTAACTATGCAAGCACGCAGCGTCCGTTACTTTTATTACTCGCGATCGCGACGCAGCAATTTGGTACCACACCCGTTAACTCGTTTCGTTGTACACAACGATCGATCACTCGCAAAGTATTGACTAATCGCGTAACTTGTTTGCCTTTACACGATGCACAATTGATTTCGCTCATCAACACGAACGCGTATCTTCAGGCACGCGAATCCCACTTCTGAAGATTGTACTTTATTTCAAATCGAACTGTTCGGTACAGAAGTCAGCGAGCAAATGAATGTACGCCGAGAGGCTCGTTATATAGGAATGGACAATAATATTTCGGACAATAATTCGGCATTGATTGTGGATTGCGTTGCTGTGAGATCTAAAAGACGCTTTTCGGTACCGAAAGCAGCCGCTATCTCTGATGATGCGCCGCTATTGCGCACGAAAATAACTCGCGATTGGATCTAAGACACCGACTCTACAAGGATCTTATAGTAGATCACATTACAATAAACTTTTTAATTGTTTTTTATTTAATTTAATATATGAGTAAAGATTAATTGTAGAATCATATTATATCTGATAAAAGTATTGCGAGAGATATATAATTATATAATAAAATTAATAGATATAGTAATTATATAATACGATTAAGTAAAGAAGTGCCAAAAATGATCGAGACTGAATCTTGATATAATATCTATCTAATATATATAATATATATATATATATATATATATATATATATATATATATATATATATATAATTCTAT